CCTGTGAGTCTGGTTATTGTTTGTCTTTGGATGCCTGGGGTTATATCATGGGATTTTTGTGTGTCTGTGTGTGCATGTGTGTGTGTGTGTGTGTGTGTGTGTATGGGGGGGTTTCAATCCTTGTATGCCAGCCAGTGACTTGTATAAGATGGGAGTCTTTATAAATCATATAAATAAACAAAACAAATAAATAACATCATACCACCCACTCCCAGCCCAGCGAAGTTTTTGTTGATACAAAAAAGATTACGTCTCTCATCCACAATTAAATTCTGGAAGAGATCAGCTTTATTACAGGCTGACAATACATTAAGCAACAACAGGATTTCTGGAGTCCTGGTTAACTGACTTCAGGGTATAGCTCAGGGGTAGGCAACCTTGGCTCTTTTATGACTGGCGGACTTCAACTCCCAGAATTCCTGAGCCAGCACAGCTGGCTCAGGAATTCTGGGAGTTGAAGTCCCCCAGTCATAAAAGAGCCAAGGTTGCCTACCTCTGGTATAGCTCAAAGGTCTAGAACAAAGGTTCCCAACTTTTGGGGCACCAGGGACTGGTTCTGTGGAGAAAGGTTTTTCCGTGGACCAGAGGGTGCATGGTTTTGTGTGCTGCCTGCATCTCGCGGGTGGGGCATTGCTTGTTTGTGCGGACTGGTTGCTGGCATGCTGCCCTGGTACTGGTCCACAGACCGGGGGTTGGGGACCCCTGGTCTAGAAGGCAACATTGATACTAAATACTGAGGTTTCCTTCCCCAAGACTGGTCCACCCTCTGTCTCCTACCATATCTCCTTCTATCCATCCCCATCCTATTAGCCTTGCCTGCCCCTTCTCACCACTCCCCCAATCTCCCCTAACTCTAGCTTGTTCCACCGTCATTGCCAAAGGCTCCATCATACCATCCAGTATATCAACCCTGACAGAGATGGGCACCAGGCTGAGAGATGCTTCTGCCTTTCCCTCAGCACTCCTTAGCTTAGGCACCAGCTAGTTTATCACTCTCTTCCACAAACTCACATCAACTTACAACCCTAACCAAAATAGAAAAATGGAACTGAATGAAAAGGATTTCGTTACTCTGCAAGATGGAATAAAGGAACTAGATGTGGATATCATTAAGATTGGCAAAAATGTTACACAATCTTCATCAGATGAAGCCCAAATGGTGCAAAAGTATCCCAGCAAACAAAAAACAATAAGATAAAACCCCAAGTTACACCAAAGGTAGTAGCTGACTCTCCCTTCAAAAGTTTAAAACCCTACGTTATTTTTTCCCCCTGCCACTATATACTAATCGGAACGCCCTAGTTACAGTATAAGGCAGAGAGCTGAAAAACCCATGAGTTCTTATAGGTCCAAAGCAGAAATCTGCTTTTATGTGAGAATTATGTGATATCCCGGAAGTTGGGCAGTCTGGAATACTGACAGCTGTACACCCCATTTTGCAATTGTTATACATATGTCACTGGAATTTGGGGAGGAAATTGCCAGTGGGTTTTTTAAAAAGAAAAAATAAGAGTGGAAATGAATGTTAAGCATCCCTTTAGCCCCGTTTCTGTCTTTCAATACGAATGTCTCCAAATTGTTCAACCCTGCATAAAAACATAGCTAGTGTTGCAGATCAGTTCACTTGGCAATGTTAAACAAACCAAGAGTTTCTAGCCTTTTAGTTGAAAAATAGAACTCGTTTAAAACTGCTCTACCTTGCTGGCTTGCATTAAGAACGATTGAGTTAATGACTGTGAAATGCTTTAAAGCTTAAACACACATGGAATGTTGCTATCTATCAATCTATCTATCCACAGGTTTCTGCAGGGAGGGGTTAAAAATGATGCCACCCACCACCTTGCATCTGAAGCCTTGCCCCTTTTTACATGTAGTGCAATGCAGAAAACCATGGGGCTCAAATCCCATGGTTGTGACTGCGTCCTGACTTTTTAGCAACCATTCATAGTTACAACAGCACTGAAAAAAGTGACTTACATCCTCACGCTCACAATTGTTGCAGCCTCCCCACAGTCATGTAATCAAAATAGAGTGCTTGGCAACCAGCATGTATTTACAATTGTTGCAGCATCCCAGGGTCATGAAATCATCAGAAGCGACCTTCCCAGTTGGATTCTAACAAGCAAGGTCAAGGGGGGAAGCCGGATTTGCTCAATGACTGTGTGATTCACTTAACAACTGCATGGATTTGCTTAACAACCACGGCAAAAGTCATAACATAGAGTACACTTAACTGCACTCTTTCAGAAATTCTGGTCCTAAATTTTGTTGTAAGTTGAGGACTTTGTTCCTCCTTTCTTATATTTATAGCATAACTGAAGTTGTGTCCTTTTGATCTGGGAGCTTTGTTCTTCTTTTTTTTTTTTTTTTTTTGCTTTTTCATGCACCTGCTGGCAGAGCTAGCCCAGTTCAAAAGAGAATATCAGTTCAAAACAGAATAGCATGATTAAAAACCTTCATACAGTGCAGTGCTTTATATCCCTTTGTGTCTCCCTCTGTTCTGCAATTTCAGGAAGGTGGCAGAAAATGCTTAATTAAAACAAGTTCATTGAGTGCTACAAATATTTGTCAGTTGTAAAACTGTCTACCTAATGTGAAGCTTTATATATTTCCCATCTCCTGACCCTAGCCACCATTAGTTGACATTAAACTTCCTTTTAGCAATTTGAAGTTAAAATCACTTTGTAGATGAAATTGATTTATATTAAATTGTGGACATCATATAAAGTTTCAGTTGTAGAAAATAATTTTGTAAACAATAACTCAGATGAAGAATACCAGCAAATACAATACTTTTCTTCATTTGATGTGGGTGGCATACATATCCAGCAGATTAAATTGAGATTAAGCCACACAAGGAACACCCCCTGTAGCAAGGAAAAGGAATTTTGGGAATCACAGGACCTCATTCATAGCTTGAGATCTTGGGTTTTCCCCCCAAAATAGTGCCAAGGAGGAAAGATTTTCTGTTCATCACATCCTTTTACTGGAGGATAAGCAGTCACAAACAACCCATTCACCAGAAGCCAGCGGGTAAGAATTGCTTCCTGACACTTCCGTGATCCACCCCATTCTGTAATCCAACCCAACCTTACTTTTGTCCCTTTGTCTGGTTGGATCGCACCACCCAGTATATTTGCTTTCTATAAATGGCTGTTGGACCTGGAAGCATTCTTAGAAAATGAAAGATATGATAGAAGTTTCCTATTTAATTTTCTTTTACATATTTTTTTAATTAAAGAGAGGAATAAATATACATTCATCAACAAAGCATCCTTCTCCTATCAGCTGTGGTACACCATCAGGTGTGGAGGTGTCCATGTTGGTTTGTGTGTGTGTTGGTGTGTGTGTGTAAAAAGTTAAGATGTTAGTGACAATTTTCCGATTGACAAACAGGGACTGGGCTTTAACAGTGTGATTGCAGCTTCCACCATCGCCCAATGTCCCAAAGGCCTATCTGGTGTTCATGATTATTCCATAATGCTAACTAGCATATTTCAAGGTATATATCCCTTTAATACATTTTATACTGCTGTTCATCTTTGTACCCAGGATACTGTATTTGGACATTTTTCCCTCTCTGTCTGCCTCCTGTGAATCAGCTGCATGGGCAATTTGCAGTAGTTATTTACCCACAGCGAACCACACTGTCTGATCACAGCCATTGCTTTATTGCCAACTATTCTGATGCCAGTATGCCTTCCTGTATATATGTTAGCTCTCTGTCAACTTCTCACAATTTGCATCTTTTTGGTCTTGTTCTTTCTTTATCCTGTTTGTGTATGCAGACCTGTGATTACCCACTGGGATGTATGTGAAGAGGCAGGCTTTAGTTCAGAAAAAGTGTGCCTCAATAAAACTGTTAATATTAAAAAAACCCACTTCTATATAAATGTCATTTTTCTACAAAATTTACTGTCTGTTATTTTCTCTGATAGCATACTTTGGTTAATTTTGGTTCATAGTGTTTTGTGTATCTAGCTGTTGGTCAGAAGCTTAACATGGTATATTAATTCAGCCAACTGCGGCTCATTCAATAAATCGCGCTAAACCAGAGCTTGACACGTGACACGAACACATGCATCATTCTAAGCTATAGCGTACTTTGTCTTGTTTTGACTTAGTGTGTCCAATGAACACAGCCTCTGCTCTTCTGGTGGGAAAACATTCTGATTTCACAGTATTTTGTTAGGAGGAAAAAAATGCCAGACTTCCAGCTCTGTCCAAAGAGATTAACATCCCAGATCCTCAAGAGGATTTATAAAAGCATGCCTTTTTTTTATGCCAGTGCCAAACTGCACATTCCAGCTTTGGCCAATTGAGGACCGGATAGAACGATTAGAATCCATTTCCCATAACTCTGAAACTACTGGCTGGGGAGTATGGGATTTGCATTCCAAACCAGGCTTAGCCCCCTGTACGCTGTACTAAGGCTGTACCCATTTTCTTGGAATGAACGAGCGAAGCCTTCTTGAACTCAAATGGCTACCGCTTCTGAACGGGCGGTGGACACGCAGAATTGCGGACCAGCTCCGCTTGGAAATTATAGCGGAGGTTCTCCAACCTTGGCAACTTTAAGACTTGTGGACTTCAACTCCCAGAATTCCCCAGCCAGCACAGCTGGCTGAGGAATTCTGGGAATTGAAGTCCACAAATCATAAGGTTGTCAACGTTGGAGGCCCCTGTGCTATAGGATGACGAGTACATGCTGGGGCTTCTGCAATTGCCCCAAAGCACAAAGTACAGTCCTGAAATCTGAAGTTGGGATGTCAGGTTTGTGACGAAGAGCAAGGGGAAACTTAAAACCAGCAAGTCATGCTTACTGGCGAGTGACTCACGGATACTTGGAGCAACTTGCCAAGAATCGCGGCCGGCGCAAGAGCGAAAGGTTGGGCGACCAGAGCCCCGCCCCTTCCCGGCGGGCCTCTACCGTCGATCCATAAAAAGGCGGAGCTCCGAGCCGGCGCGTTTCTTCCTCTCTCGCCTGTTTTGTGTTGCAGAGCATGGGCATCAACTGAGAAACGCGCTCTTTGAACTTACGATGGAGCCTTCCTTGCCTGCCGTGTTTGCCCGACAGCAGTATGTAGGAGGCTACCACCAGACTGTGAAGGTAGGGAACCAATGTGTGCCCGTGGTTGGTGTGCAGTGCGGGTTGGCTCTCCGCCTCTGAACCTTGAGTTTTCCAGATGTTTGGAGCGACAACTCCCGTTTTATAGCACGCTAGTTAGAGACGTTGAAATAAAATGATCGGATGGGGAGGGGGGGGATGAGCAGCTGTGTGCATCCTAGCCGAAATAATAATAATAATAATAATAATAATAATAATAATAATAATAATAATAATAATAATAATAATAATAATAATAATAATAATAATAATAATAATAATAGTAAAGTTGGAAGGGACCTTGAAGGTCATCTAGTCCAACCCCCTGCTCAGGCAGGAAACCCTATACCATTTCGGACAAATGGCTGTCCAGTCTGTTCTTAAAAACTTCCAGTGTTGGAGCATTCACCGCTTCTGGAGGCAGGTTGTTCTCCTCTGATTTCAGTGTCGTTTTCTTCCGCTTTTCCTTGAAGGTAATTGAACTCCATGGGACTTCTGACAGGACTTGAATGAAATGGGGTTTTCATCCTCCTGCCAATCTAGTTTCCGTGATCTGCCCTCTCGCCCTCCAGCTGAGGTTGTAATCAGAGGGTCACAGATCTTTGGACACTTGATACTGTAGAAACTCTGCAGGCATTTTGGGGGAAAATGTACAGGCTTTCATAAAAAATGTACAGGCTTTCATAAAGTAACTTGGTTGCTGATGCCACAGCATAACGTCTGGTAGAGCTGAAGGCATAGTAAAGAGGGAAACAGGTAGCAATTAGAGTTGAAGGAGGATGTGCAAGAATACTGGGCTGTTTGAGATTTTGAAGGAGCTAAAGGTTGCCTTTCACATAATTGGTTAGGATGTTCTAATATTACTTTGTCCTTATTTTGAATCCCGATGTCAAGCTTGGGTCCATTCATTCTTTTGCACAAAACTTGAGCCTTTTAATAACGTGTTACTCCAAAAAGCTGCTATTATACCTCTGATTTCTTTTAACAGTATTTGCATATCTTAAAATTTCCCATTCCATTTCATGTCTTAATAAAAATACTGCTAAACTATACAATTCATCTACTTGGTCTATAAATTGGCTTATATTTCTGTCTCTATATATTGGGGGGAGCATATTTATGTATACCTTATAATTGTTCATTGCCTTTACGCAGCAAACATGACTGCCTTGATCTTTGGTATATTGAATGTCAGGTACATTTTCCTTAGTGCATCATAGAATCAATCTAACATTCACTGCAAATCATTAAGCTTCTTAGCCAATCATCATCTGCATTCAAAAGTGCAGTACATATACCTTCAGATCTCCAATCCCATGGGATTTCTAACATCACTCAAAGCATCCCTTATACAGTTATCCATAAATGCATTAAACAACCATCCTGGCCTTACTCCCTTTTGCTGTTGATCAGTTGCTAAGTCATGTCTGATTCTTTGAGACCCCATGGACCATAGCACACCAGGACCCCCTGTTCTCCACTCTCTTCCAGAGTTTGCCCAAATTGTTTGTTGCCTCGATGACATTATCTAATCATCTCATTCTCTGAAGTCCTCTTTTCCTTTTCCTTTCAGTCTTTCCCAACATCAAGGCCTTTTCCAGTGAGTCCTCTCTTCTAATTTGGTGGCCAAAGTATTTGAGCTTCAGCTTCTCTGCTCAGTACCAATCAACTGTAAAACAGCTTGTTTATTCTTACTCATGCTTTATTCCCATTGTATGCCACCTGTATTCCATTCAACAGCCAACCTTGATTCCATGTTTGTGTGCATAATATTCTGTCAGACTCATTTCGTTTAAACCATTCAACATTTTGATAATTTTTATTTGGTTTCATTATTTTTGCCTGAATCCTAATATTGATATTTACCTTCCATTCAGAATGTTAGGAAATGACTCCATATCTTTTCATAAGTGTCTTATACTTTTCTCACAATCATACTTTTATTATTTTTGTTAGTCTTTTATCTTTTTCTTTTGTGTAACCACTTTTGACACAGCCAGAAAAGGATCTTTCCAGGTTCTGTATCTGGCATCATTTGATGTATCTAATTATTTCATCTGTCCTTTTAAAAAATATATAGAAGTAGTCCTTGATTTACAACCGGTTACTTAGCAACTATTCAAAGTTACAATGCACCTCTCCAGGGCTACTTATGACTTAAGGTTCTAATGGCCACCTCTCCCTCACAATCATGTGATTATATTTTGAGCATTCAGCAACTGGCCCACTTTTATGAGTGTTTGTTGCATTCTGAAGTCATGTGACCACAATTTAGGCCTTTGTTTGCCAGAAAACAGCATTTTCTTCCCCTTTCGGCAAAAAACATCCATTATAGACAATGGATTCACTTCACAACCATAGTGATTCATTTAATTGCTGCAAAAGAAGGTCTTTATGTGGTGACCTGCTTAATGATCAGCATGACTTTCCACCATAATTCTGGCTTCACTAATGGTTGAAAAGTTGAGGACTACCTATATATTAATTCCCTTGCTACCAATCCCATTCTCATCCATCTAGTCATGCTATCAAAGAAATAATTGTTTGCCCTGCATTGTATGTGTTTAGAATTTTGTACAGTTTCCCTCCAGAATTTATCGCTGGTTGTTTCATTTTCACTTGAAACACAACATGCAACTATTATCCACCTATGGATTCATAATTTCAGATACATTCCTAGCAAAGTCCATGCTACTAATTCCTACTTTCTGACATATACTGTAGCCATTCCATTTATAATTAAACCATTTATAATACAATAAAATAAAATAATTAAATAAATAAAATAAACCACTTCTGCTTACAATCAGGCCACTTTAGATCTATGCTTTCCTTTCCTCCTACTTTTTTAGACACACAGCCTATTTTTTTTTCCATTTTGTTTACTCATTCATGTTCTGTACTACTTTATCCTCTTGCTTTCCAAAATTCCATATGTTACTGTTATAAGATACGCTTATAGGTACTGATTTCTGCTGCCTATCATAACTTTTGTGTAATGCTTTTTCATAAAATAATTGAAGTAAGGGGTGTATCAGTCAGCTTTGCCAATTTTGTTTAGTATCTTACGGTACAACAAAAGCTCAGTTTTGCTCTGAGTGTGCTCTCATTATTCTGCGTAAACAAGGATCTATAATTTTGGAAGACAACATACTCTTACCCATATCCTACCAATTAAGATGTATACATACTGTACTCAGGATACAGAGTTATACAGAATATTTTATTAAATTTATATGCTGCCCATCTCACTACCCAACCAACTCTGGATAGCCGACAACGCAATAAAAACAAGAATATAAAAAAACTATAAAAATGTCTACCGCAAAGGGCGGTATGTCAATATGCAGCTACATTGCTGACCTTATAAGTGTAATTGATGATTTCATCTTGGGGGTTGTGGGAATTAGTGGAAGACTTTATTTCTCCAAAAGGATAATTAGAAAATTGAAAGATATTTTTTAAAATGAAGAATGGCAGCTAATTTATCTACATGGATTAAAAGCCAAATTCTTCTCTGATTTAGCACAGCATCTTGGGTTAATCAGGTTTTGAAGCATGAGCAAATATTTCTGCTTTTGTAGAATATTTTTATATGAATTGTTCCTTAAAACTACACCAAATTATCTCTCTTACCAGTCAGTTAAGTCTTTCCCTCCCATAAACATTACCTCTCTCTACCAAACAACTTGTGTCTATGTCAGCTTCCTTTCATATTAATCTCATGACTTCTAGGAGAAGCATATTAAGCCTTCACGTGCATATCAAAGAACTAACATTATGGAAGTACTTTTTACACCATTTCTGACCAAGTGCCTATAGCTATTGGAAAATGCAGGGAATACAATCCCTACTCTAATAAACTAGATATTCAAGCTTGGTAATTATTTAGGATGCCTAGATATTCCTGTGATACAATCCCACTTTGTTTATGGATGCAATGAGTCAGTGAGTGAATTACATTTAAGATTTATCACCTAATAACCCATTCTCTGTGCTGTTTACTGTGTTTTTGCAAAGGAAATTGTAGACCAGAATCACAGCCTTATTAGATGCAGGTGCATCTATCTTTCCCTGTATAAACCATTTAAAGAGGCTGCAGATTATCAGAAGAAAGAAGTAGAGGCTGAAAGGAAAATATTGATTAAATATTTGGAGACGAAGGGCATGTACTTGATTGAAATCACTCTTCCTAGCTTCCTTTCTCTTTGAGTATAGCGTATCATTCTGAGTATAGCGTATCATTCAAGAACAAATTGAGAAAACAGCATTATTTAAAGGTGCATTGTTGAATATATGTTCAAACTATAAAATGTACTGTTTTATTGTTATTTAAAGTTTATGGAAGTTGTATTAACTGAAATATTTTTGTCTGCAGAAATAAAGGCACCATAAGTTAAAAATGACTAAAACAAAAGACTAAACCAGGGGTCTTCAAACATGGCCCTTTTATGACTTGTGGACTTCAACTCCCAGAATTCCTCAGCCAGACACGCTGGCTGAGGAATTCTGGGAGTTGAAGTCCATAAGTCATAAAAGGGCCAAGTTTGAAGACCCCTGGGCTAAACTATATAATGAACAATTGAGAGAACTAGGTATGTTTATTCTAATGAAGAGAAGGACATCACAGCAGTATTTCAGTACTGAGGGGCTATCACAGAAAAAAGGGGTTTGACCTATTCTCCGAAGCACCTGAGGGGGCAGGACAAGAAGTAATGGGTGGAAGGTCATTAAACAGAGATCCAATCTAGAACTAAGAAGAAATTTCCTGACAATGAGAACAATTAACCATTGGAACAGCTTGCCTCTGGAAGTTGTGGGTGTTACATCACTGGAGTTTTTGAAGAAGAGATTGGACAGCCATTTGTCCAGAATGGTATAGGGCAGGGGTCTTCAAACTTGGCCCTTTTATGACTTGTGGACTTCAACTCCCAGAATTTCTCAGCCAGTGTGCCTGTTCTATTCTATTCTATTCTATTCTATTCTATTCTATTCTATTCTATTCCATTCCATTCCATTCCATTCCATTCCATTCCATTCCATTCCTTCTATGTTCTGTGAAAAAACGTGTTCATATAACTAAAGCATGTAGTCCCCAATTCATTGATTTTGGAGCACTTAAGGAATGACCTACATATGATGTAAAACACTGGTGTAGGTTGGAATGGTATGTCTACCTTGCAGATATATGGAAAGCAGGCTGATAGAGAAGTTTTCACGTTTGTCTCACAGTAATTCAGATAAAGATGGAATTAAACACTGCCAGTTGTTCAGGGTTGACTGCATTTGATTGCATTAAGCCAAGTACTTTAATTATCTTTTCCTAGTAGCATCTAAATTACTCCCTACCTCTTAGTTTACCCTCCCCCCGGATTTCTTATCATGAAGTAGTATTTTTTTCACTTCACCTTTGAGTTATAGTGCTGCTTTTGAATATTGATCATTTTCTATATTTTCTCTGCTCAGACACACCGTGAAGGAGGTTTTCTTAAACTACTTGAAGGGAACAGGCAAATGAAACAGGCTTCATATGACTATGATCTAATTGTCATTGGAGGAGGTTCTGGGGGACTGGCAGCTTCAAAGGTAAGATCAGCCAAGCTAGAGTCACAAAAAATATTCTAATAGCTAGAATTTGTTCCAATATGTTTTAGCAGAGTCTAGGAAATGAGCTCTCTCTTCATAAGTTACCGGTGGGTTTGTGGAATGCAGAATACATTTTACATTTCAGACAGCCTTCCTAATCAGCTTCCTGCCATCTATGTTAGCCATAGTAAGAAATTCAGTACTTTTAATTGCAGCACATCTGCAAATTGGAGAACTGTACTATATAATCAATGTGGCAGGGGACGTTGCTATACAGCCCTATGGAAAACTTCAAACTATTCCCTATAGATCCATGTCAAAGAGTGCTTTTCAAATACTTTGAGAATCCCTCTAAAAAAAATGATATAAGCCTAACAAAAGACCAGAATTACATTGGACTGAAATCTAGTCATATCTCCTGATAACTTGAGTTGATATATTAAGGTATGCCCTCGTCAGCCTTCCAGATATTTTAGAAATGACTCTCAGCATAATCTTCGGCAACTGGAGGGCAAAAGACTGGAAAAACTGATCTAAAGAGAATTATTTGAAACATTTAATTAATAAACTATTCATTTTGTTTGAGAATCTGTTAAAAATAAATGAAAAATAATTAACTGTTTATTTTACGTTTGTAGGGAAATGTGTAACCATATTTCCAATTCTTTTGGTGGGAGTAAAGTATGAGATGTGAGTGTTAATAGTTTTGAAGGGTAAAAAAATTGAATTCCCTTTTCATCTAAAGTGTCATATCTATATTTTAAAATAAAATATGTATCCAGCTGCATTGGAAACATGGTTGCCAACAGTAAATGTCTGAAGTGGGAGAGGTTGAAAATAGAAATTGAAATATACCAACAGCCCTTGTTAAACAGTATAGTAGCTATATTATCTTTGATTCTTAGAACAATTTAATTTCCTAGAAGAAACTTTCTTGCTCCATTTACTTTTTTCTTCCCAATAGTAATTAAAATGGACTTATGGGTCTTGGTGGTCCAGATGAGGTTTATGCTCTTCTAGAGTGGTGGTTGATCGCTTGAAAGATTAGTCTGGTTGATTAATTATAATGTCTTGTGTATTTCATTGGGGTTTTGGTATATTTTGGTTTGCTGGAGAAAACAATCTATTTCAACCCACTATTAGAATGTGAAACTCTCTTCCTGAACTTTGTTCATCTTTAAATCCTCCATCAGCTAGAAGAGCAATTCAAACTTAACATAAAACCATAGCATTATATTATAATAATATGGTAAGTTAACATATATTGAGTTGGACCATCTATTTTAGTATTGCTTGCAGAAAGTGCCTCAGGGTTTCAGGCAGGAAACCTTTTCAGTGCTAATTAAAGAAATCAGAACTTGATCCTTCAACCATTCATAGGTAGACTGAATAGTCCATGACTAAATTATGGTTTTGCCATTTTCCAAGCTTGGATAGACTAAGGAAAAAAAAAAAAGCTAGAATTTCCTTCATAAATTGTCTAAAAAAGTCTTTACATTTTATATAGTCATGGTTATAACTCTTTATCATCTTTAGCATAACACTTGTAGTGATAACATCCATCCTAAGCCAGTTCTGCAGATATTTTACTGTAGTGGCTTTCTCCCCAACATAAAAATAATATAGAAACTCATGTTTCAAATAGAGCTCCTTCAGCACTTTTAAAGAATATAACAAATATATTTGCTGGCAAGATAGTAATCCTTCTGAATCTGCCAGGATACCTGCTTCTGCCTCTGAATCTGAAGCTAGTTTGATTTTCAAGGAATAACCAGATAGGATTTAACTGCAGAACTATTTCTAAAGTAGGAGAGCCATCAGAAGAATAAACATTTGTGATAGTTAAGCAGGAAGGGAAGGGTATTCTGGAAATACAGGTGTTATGATAGCTTTTAGTTTCTTGTTGAGTTAATTGTGACCCCAAGTACCTCGAAAATACAGGAGGCAGTATTTGCTTTTGGGCTTACCAGGTAAATAACCAAACTGGACAGGTTTTCTGCCAACAGACAAACAAACTGTGTGAAATCTATGTAAAGCAAAAGTTAGTGGGAAGCATTTTTGTCTCTCTGGATTTTCTAGGACATCTAGGCCACATTTTAGTTCCAAAGAAGGGATGGGTTGACTTTCAAAGGGAGGCTGCAACATCAAACTGCTGAGTTAGTATCATATCTGCCAGTTTGGGCTGAGCTAACAGAGATTAGCTTGATGAGCTTCCTACTAAAATTAATTGTCCCTTTTTAAATTGTTGTATAACATGAAATATATGTCTTGCCTTTGTTAGTTCCATAGTAATTTAGAAAGATCATCTTTTTTACTTTTTCTGTGTTTAGATTTTTTTTGTTTTGCATAGTAACGTGGTACTCCTGTCTCTTGTATAAGTGTCTACTCTGATTCTTCTTTGTTATATAACTGCATACAACTGGCTTGTATATCAATAGCCAATTTGGACATACATTTAATAAAATAGGCCCTGGTCTTCAAAATTTAAGCCACAATAAACATGGCAACCTTTACCATTGGGCTGATGTATGGTTTTGGTTTTAGCTGCAATGATGACTTCTTCGGGAATTTGAAACTTCCACATACCATCAGAGTCTCATGGATGGGTGGGGAAGGAAGAAGGATTCCTTTCATTTGTCAGTGAATGTAGTTTTGTTTAGAAACTGAACAGAAACTGAGATCTAAGTTTCAAGAGTCCTTTGGCAAAATGCTGCATTAATTGCTCTCATCAGTGTACCCATATTTATCACATGGCAGCAACTGTGTTGTGAACTGCGTAGGATGAGTAGGAATCATTGGTCAACTTTTCAATTTTCCATGAAGCTAACTTACTTTGAAGGGCTGTAACCTAGTGGCAAACTAAAATAATAGCCTACCTAGTTACTTGGTGCAAGATATGCACAAATGGAAAAGGGGTAATGCATATGATGAACTTGTATTTCACTTGATGATGTGCTGGACTCAAATTATATACTTGTATGATTTGTCTGATGACTTCATGATGCATGTGTTGTCATTAAAGTGTTCTTATGACTTTTATTAGATGCACATGATTTACTCCTGGAGGTCTAGACAATGTTGGTTCTGGAACATCTGCCTGGTAGATGCCAATAGATGTTAGAACAATTCTTAGAAGTGAGAAATATTAGGCTTTTAAATAATCCCTAATCCGATCAAGTACCGTTGATACTTATGGAAGCCCAATTAAACATTCCACTTGTTAGGTGGGAAATGAGTATATTTAATATATTTCTTTTGCAATAATTGTGATGTGATGGTCAGGTATTATTCCCAATGTGAACTGAGGACCCATATCAGTTGTCTGTTTAAAATCTTCATGATCCCTGTCTGTTAAGATGTTTTTTATGGCAAACAAGCTGAGGATGCTTCATAGGATGTAAGAAAAATTGGTAGGAGTATTGTGCATGTAGCCTTGACTGCTGTAGAAAAGGTGGGATAGAAATGTAACAAAGAGAAATATAGGAAGTGATTAGGAGCTTTGTCCAAACCAAGGATCAGCAGCTTCATTTCCTTCCAAACATGGTTTCTTTAAGAATTGACCTTTAAAAAGGAATGAGAAGAAACACTGACTAATGAGCAGTTTGTTCCTCTAAGTTGTGGTAGGCCATTTGGGATTAGCATATTCACCATTGCTAGGTGGGTTTATATGTAATGATTCATCTCAATTTGCAGGTGAGGGCAAAGACTGAGGTCACCTGTCAAATACCTCAGGTATCAAAGGAGTCCCTTTATGTCTCATAATAAAACTCATTTTAAACGGTGCTTTGGAGCATTGTCATTTTACATAGCATGTGATCTAGTTAGTGGAAATTTCTTCTCATCCTTTGATAGAATTGTGGTAATTTAGGCAGCCAAATTATTGCTTGACATTTAATTACTATTGAGTTGTTAGATTCATTTCCCCCCAATTTCTTTGCCACCACAATGATCAACCAACAATTGCTTTTCTCAAGTAAATGCTACGTATCTTGTCTTTTCATTAAAAGAGAAGATGGAAAGGAGGAATTGTTAGAACCTCACAGTGCTAGAAGACATCCGATCAAGTCAAACTGATGGGCCTGTTTTGGCTAAAAAGTATATTTTAATAAGATAGTTTAAAGGTAACTTTAATTAGGGAGAACATTGGCTTATTGTGGTGATCTGAGTCATGTAACATTTAAACAAATCCTTGTAATAATGTTTACCAGTATGGGTCAGGAGCTTATATATTTCAAACAGTTTTCCCAAATCAGAGCTCTGTAGTTTGCAGCCAGCGCTGGGGCAGGGGGGCGGACCAGGGTGGACGGGGAGGCGGGGTGGTTTTTGGGCACTCGCTGCCATCACTGTTGTAGGGGAAGATAGATAAGGCATGGATGATACCTACTGGGGTAATGAAATGTATATGAACAAACAACCAAGCTTAGGGAGTACCAATAACTCCACAGTTGATCTTTGAGTTACAAATATACCCTTATGTTAAATACATGAGGGAAATTAACAGTTCTACAACTCAGTTGCTTGACACACATCAATAAACTCATTTTCCCAAAGGACAATATCCTCTGTGCATGAGTGGTATCAACAGATTTGAGATAATCTGGAGATTTGTAGATTTTTTTTTAAAAAAATAACCCTTCAGCAAAAACTGAGGAAATTGTGTGTGAACATGTTTATGAACATCAAATATAAATCAGTTGGAGGAGGTAGGAAAAAAACAAGAAAAATCAGGAATGGAGGGCAGTGGTATGGCCACTTCACATTTTTCTCTTTATTGATTTTTAGGAAGCAGCCATACTTGGCAAGAATGTATTGGTCCTGGATTTTGTCGTCCCTACTCCTTTAGGAACAACTTGGGGTAAGCTGGTGGTTCTCAATCTTAGTTCAAACAAATAGCCCAATCAGTTTTGCTTATGCTTCTGAACAATTTTTATGTTTCATCTTCACATTACGGAAATAAGGTATGAAGAAATACCACATTGAGCTGCGCTCATACATTACACTAATCCACCATTTACTTTGCTTGGTTTTGACTTACGATATCCCAGCACTGTAGTTTGTAAACTATAATTTATACTTAATAGCATGTTGCATGAATTCAGCAAATTGCTATTTATTCAACAGACCTTGTAAGCTCTGGATTAATGCAATATGTGAAACCAGCTACATTCTTCAGGATTTATTTTATTAGATTCATATCTGATCTTTGTGGAGAAGCTCAAGGCAGCATACATACCGTAATTCCTCCTCCTATTTCTTCCCACAGTAATAATCCTGTGAGGTGAGGTGGGTTGAGAGACAGTGACTGGTTCAAAGTCACCAAATGAACTTCCTTGGCTAAAAGTGGATTAGAACTAGGGTTTCCCTGCTCCCAGCCCAGCACCTTAACCATTGTACCACACTGGCTCTCAGAGTTCTGCTTGGCTTTCATACAAAGGGGCTGAAAGGCCTTCCACAACTGCTTGGATATTGGAGATTCTCACCTACAAAGTTGCCGGTTAATTGCTTCCCTGTTTTCTGTATGATGATCTTGGATGATTCTGCTATGCTTCCTTTTACAGGTCTTGGAGGAACTTGTGTAAATGTAGGCTGCATCCCTAAAAAGTTGATGCATCAGACAGCTTTGCTTGGGCAAGCCATAAAGGATGCACCTGCATTTGGATGGCAACTTGGTGACAAACGTAAGGATATAAAATTCCATTTCTGTGAATGTTATACTATTATTTGGGAAAAATAACATGCGAATAGAAAGACAGTGGGTGGGATGCATAGTGGGATAAAGGTATATTTTTATGTTACATTAAAGTGCAGGAAGAAGGTGTAGGTTGAATAAATGGTGTGGCTGTGTTTAGTTTAAAGATTTATAATACCATAGGCCTGAATGCTACCTCCAACCCGGGGTGTATAGAAGCAATTCTCCAATGTGCTTAAAGCATAGACCTCAGTCCAGAGCCTTCACAAATGTTCTGAAAACTGATAAGAATCTCTCTAATAATTTATTTGAAGCAAGCATGAAATAAAATCTTGAATGGCTTAAGAGGAAGATGCTGCACTGCTTGCACATTTCTGACTATATTTATTATCCTTTGTTCCATGTCAGCAAAACTTAATAAACCCAGGATAATTTAATATATTTTTCGGAAAGGAAGGCACAATCAAAATCATGTGTATATGTAGCTATGTAACACTCTAATGAGGTCTTAGTGAAAGTTAAAGACACAGATGAATGCTAGATTCTTTTTCCCCCTTTTGATCCTTAGCCATAAAGCACACCTGGAGCTCTTTGACAGATGCTGTTCAAAATTATATAGGCTCTCTGAATTGGGGATATAGAGTGTCCCTCCGAGAGAATAAGGTCACATATGAAAATGCTTATGGAGAGTTCATTGGACCACACACAATTAAGGTATTAAATATCTTTTGAATACTTTGTTACATTACTTGTTTTACATTGGATCTCTTATATTTCTTTTACTTGTGTGGGAAGTTGGTGTGGAGCATATCTGTTAAATGACAAGGCCCTACTGTTCTTCCAAATAAGTCATGCTTGTCTGATACCATGGATTCTTCTCCATTTGTGAAAGAGTGGACTGAAGTTATCTTTCCATCGGTTGTGGCTTCTGTTATTTAGCAGCAAGGAAGTCCTGACCTTGGCTTAAATATCAAAGCAAAGTGGGTTCAAGGTCTTAAGTCTTAGGAACCAGAATCAGCATAGAGTCTTGGGACCAGTTTTTTTTTTCTTCTGGTCAATTGTGTTTGATTCTTGGAGATTGCCTGGACAAGTCCTTACAGAGAATGCTGTAAAGCACTGTGAAGTGGAATTTACGTCTAAGTGCAATTGCTATTGCTATTTGGCATAGCTATTAAAAGTACATAGCAAAGAATTAATGGTAATTAATATCTGATATCTGAATCAAAGGTGGACAGCAGAGGCATCTGGATCTTCTTATAAAGCAACTTCCGTGATGTATTGTAGATGAACAAGAATTTTCTATACATTGTAAAAAAATAATAATAGCTGGGCAGGGATATAACTGGAATGGAACTTTTAGCTGGAAGAACTGGGAGCTTGGTTTAGTTGGAATACTCAGAAAATATTTTTAGATCAGAATTCTTTGTCCAAAGGGTATATTGTTTNAGCTCTGTAGTTTGCAGCCAGCGCTGGGGCGGCGGGGGGGGGGGAAGGGTGGAGTGGGGGGGCGGACCAGGGTGGACCGGGAGGCGGGGTGGTTTTTGGGCACTCTCTGCCATCACTGTTGTAGGGGAAGATAGATAAGGCATGGATGATACCTACTGGGGTAATGAAATGTCTATGAGCAAACAACCAAGCTTAGGGAGTACCAATAACTCCACAGTTGATCTTTGAGTTACAAATATACCCTTCTGTTAAATACATGAGGGAAATTAACAGTTCTACAACTCAGTTGCTAGACACACATCAATAAACTCATTTTCCCAAAGGACAATATACTCTATGCATGAGAGGTATCAACAGATTTGAGATAATCTGGAGATTTATAGATATATTTTTTTAAAAAAAATAACCCTTCAGGAAAAACTGAGGAAATGGTGTGTGAACATGTTTATGAACATCAAATATAAATCAGTTGGTGTAGGTAGGAAAAAAACAAGAAAAATCAAGAATGGAGGGCAGTGGTATGGCCACTTCACATTTTTCTCTTTATTGATTTTTAGGAAGCAGCCATACTTGGCAAGAATGTATTGGTCCTGGATTTTGTCGTCCCTACTCCTTTAGGAACAACTTGGGGTAAGCTGGTGGTTCTCAATCTTAGTACAAACAAATAGCCCAATCAGTTTTGCTTTTGCTTATGCTTCTGAACAATTTTTATGTTTCATCTTCACGTTACGGAAATAAGGTATGAAGAAATACCACATTGGGCTGCGCTCATACATTACACTAATCCACCATTTACTTTGCTTGGTTTTGACTTACGATATCCCAGCACTGTAGTTTGTAAACTATGATTTATACTTAATAGCATGTTGCATGAATTCAGCAAATTGCTATTTATTCAACAGACCTTGTAAGCTCTGGATTAATGCAATATGTGAAACCAGCTACATTCTTCAGGATTTATTTTATTAGATTCATATCTGATCTTTGTGGAGAAGCTCAAGGCAGCATACATACCGTAATTCCTCCTCCTATTTCTTCCCACAGTAATAATCCTGTGAGGTGGGGTGGGTTGAGAGACAGTGACTGGTTCAAAGTCACCAAATGAACTTCCTTGGCTAAAAGTGGATTAGAACTAGGGTTTCCCTGCTCCCAGCCCAGCACCTTAACCATTGTACCACAATGGCTCTCAGAGTTCTGCTTGGCTTTCATACAAAGGGGCTGAAAGGCCTTCCACAACTGCTTGGATATTGGAGATTGTCACCTACAAAGTTGCCGGTTAATTGCTTCCCTGTTTTCTGTATGATGATCCTGGATGATTCTGCTATGCTTCCTTTTACAGGTCTTGGAGGAACTTGTGTAAATGTAGGCTGCATCCCTAAAAAGTTGATGCATCAGACAGCTTTGCTTGGGCAAGCCATAAAGGATGCACCTGCATTTGGATGGCAACTTGGTGACAAACGTAAGGATATAAAATTCCATTTCTGTGAATGTTATACTATTATTTGGGAAAAATAACATGGGAATAGAAAGACAGTGGGTGGGATGCATAGTGGGATAAAGGTATATTTTTATGTTACATTAAAGTGCAGGAAGAAGGTGTAGGTTGAATAAATGGTGTGGCTGTGTTTAGTTTAAAGATTTAATACCATAGGCTTGAATGCTACCTCCAACCCGGGGTGTATAGAAGCAATTCTCCAATGTGCTTAAAGTATAGAGCTCAGTCCAGAGCCTTCACAAATGTTCTGAAAACTGATAAGAATCTCTCTAATAATTTATTTGAAGCAAGCATGAAATAAAATCTTGAATGGCTTAAGAGGAAGATGCTGCACTGCTTGCACATTTCTGACTATATTTATTATCCTTTGTTCCATGTCAGCAAAACTTAATAAACCCAGGATAATTTAATATATTTTTCGGAAAGGAAGGCACAATCAAAATCATGTGTATATGTAGCTATGTAACACTCTAATGAGGTCTTAGTGAAAGTTAAAGACACAGATGAATGCTAGATTCTTTTTTTCCCTTTTGATCCTTAGCCATAAAGCACACCTGGAGCTCTTTGACAGATGCTGTTCAAAATTATATAGGCTCTCTGAATTGGGGATATAGAGTGTCCCTCCGAGAGAATAAGGTCACATATGAAAATGCTTATGGAGAGTTCATTGGACCACACACAATTAAGGTATTAAATATCTTTTGAATACTTTGTTACATTACTTGTTTTACATTGGATCTCTTATATTTCTTTTACTTGTGTGGGAAGTTGGTGTGGAGCATATCTGTTAAATGACAAGGCCCTACTGTTCTTCCAAATAGTCATGCTTGTCTGATACCATGGATTCTTCTCCATTTGTGAAAGAGTAGACTGAAGTTATCTTTCCATCGGTTGTGGCAATTCAGTGAATTGGCTTCTGTTATTTAGCAGCAAGGAAGTCCTGACCTTGGCTTAAATATCAAAGCAAAGTGGGTTCAAGGTCTTAAGTCTTAGGAACCAGAATCAGCATAGAGTCTTGGGACCAGTTTTTTTTTTTTTCTGGTCAATTGTGTTTGATTCTTGGAGATTGCCTGGACAAGTCCTTACAGAGAATGCTATAAAGCACTGTGAAGTGGAATTTACGTCTAAGTGCAATTGCTATTGCTATTTGGCATAGCTATTAAAAGTACATAGCAAAGAATTAATGGTAATTAATATCTGATATCTGAATCAAAAGTGGACAGCAGAGACATCGGGATCTTCTTATAAAGCAACTTCCGTGATGTATTGTAGATGAACAAGAATTTTCTATACATTGTAAAAAAATAATAATAGCTGGGCAGGGATATAACTGGAATGGAACTTTTAGCTGGAAGAACTGGGAGCTTGGTTTAGTTGGAATACTCAGAAAATATTTTTAGATCAGAATTCTTTGTCCAAAGGGTATATTGTTTGCATTTGGCTCTGCTTGGTGAATCATTTGGATTCTAATACAAAGCAAGGTAGATTCTCCAAAGCTGAAGGTTACCCAGCTCACTTCCCCTTTTCTTAAAAAATAATGTATCTCTTCTTAGCCATGAGCAGTTTTTCCTTGCTTAAAAAACTGCCTTCTGATCTAAAGTAGCACATCCTCAGCCTATTATCACGGCATAATGAAAAAAGAGGTGCCTAGCCAGGTCCTAGATCTTGCCATAAACTGAAATAGCAGCCATTATCTACCCATTTAGGCATCACTCTTAATAACATCATCCATATAGGTTCATTCACCTGCATGTCTTAACATTAATTATTTAGGAAATGTGTATGCTGCCCAATCTCTTAATAGTTCTTGGCACCTTATGAGGTATAGTACTATATACTATTGTCTGCCAGCAGTGTCTTTATGTAATATCAGCTGGAGGGCCAAATCAGTCTCCATGGAAAAGAAGTAGCTGACAAACATGTGATTGATGTCCATAAATCTGGAGGGGTGGGAGAGATTTTTCACTCTGGATTTAGATGAATAGTATCAGCCAGGAAAAATCTGGAAGGTTTGCAGGAAGAGAACGGCTAGTTTGTTAGTTCTGGGAAGGGAAGAGAGCAGAAGGAAGATAACTTGCAACAGGACTAATGCAAGAGAAGAGTTTTCAAGATTTCCTGCCATGGGAGGTAAAGAGTAGGTGGGGAATATTTCCTTCTCCGTTACTATCAGAATATAGTGAGTATAGTTTTTAAGCCATGTGGATTGATTTCCAAAGTTCCTTAGGCTAATGCCTTATTTGGGTCACTAGCTATATTTACAAGCAGTGCTTTGTCTAGTCTCAGCCTAATGAAAAACGAGTTTGCTACATTATGAGGAGACTTATTTCGTATCTCAGGTTCAGCTAAAAAACTTGCTCTATTGTTTACAGACAACAAATAATAAAGGGGTAGAGAAAATTTACACAGCAGAAAGATTTCTGATTGCCACTGGAGAAAGACCTCGCTATCTGAACATTCCAGGAGACAAAGAATATTGCATCACCAGGTAACATAAAATAAATGAATTGATGTGTTTTGTACTGCCTGATGGCACTCAAGGAAATTGGCTAAAATGTAGCATTTGGAAGACAAGGTTGCTCCTTAATAGAACTCTCGTGGTAAAATTGTTCCTTATTGAAAATATTTCTTTTTAATCCTCAGAGGACAAGTTTTTAGGTCTTTTCTGGGAGATGCGATTGTGGGATAACTTAAATTGCACTTGAATGCACTTTCAGACAATAACCTGGAGACTGTAACGGAGAATTTTGAAGGTTACAGTCCCAAGAAACCATTAAAATAAAGCCTTTGACTAACCTTTTAAATTTGTCTATCAACATTTAAAGTCTTGGCTGTATGCATAAAGCCTACCTTGCTCATCTCCATTGAAAATACATCTTCAGTTCCTGCAAAGGCCTATTAATGTACAGCCAAAAGCAAAATGCGTAAAGGAGTGGGAAGTAAGGGGAAGGGAAAAGCTGTTATATTTGTGTAGTTCAAAAATTCAAGCCATGAGAAAATTGTCCTGCATTAACTGATATAAAAAAGTAATGGTCTGCAAAATGTTGAGAATTCGTAATGTGTTGAGCTTTCAGATTTGAAACAACTGTTTTGAGCTTGAAAGAATCTCATTATGAGCTTGCAATACTGGTTTCAAGATTAAAATAATGTTATTGAGCTTAGAGGCCTTCTAATATGGTTGGAACAACCTGTTTTGAAACATATATTTTCAAAATGAAAACTTGATGCATACACCTTTGGAAAAGCAAGGGAGATGGCTAGGCTCCAGCTAATTGTGACTATGGGGCACTCTTAGCTTTCCAGTCCCATCTTGGTGATCTCTAGGAGCACCCAAGTTACATCGCTTAAATTCAAAGATGAGCCTCAAATTGCAACTAAAAAAGTTTCTAATAGGTCTAATAAAATAAAAATGGCAGGTTTTAAAATAGAGCAGAAGAGGAGATTGAAACCAATACAATGTTGGTCTCTTCAATACAATGTTGTTGATCTAGATCAGTGTTTCTCAACCTTGACAATTTTAAGGCATGTGGACTTCAACTCCCAGAATTCCTCAAGCCAGCAACGCTGGCTGTGGAATTCTGGGAGTTGAAGTCCACATGCCTTAAAATTGTCAAGGTTGAGAAACACTGATCTAGACATTGACCAAATATATTCAGTTTTTATCTCTCTGCCAAAGACTCTATGATGTTACTCACAGGGAGATAACCAACAATCCCCAAATAAAGGAATAGTTAGAAAATGGGGGTCTTACTGGTGTTCATAGAAAGTTGTTAAGTTTTGAATGAGAGGAGTGGTGCTAGAAAAATAACACCATAACATTTTTTTTTGTTAGAACAAAGTTATATGGAACATTTGTCTCTGTAAAATATAACAGCAAAGTGTCCAGTTTGCTTGTCTTTGAAAATACATTTCTTGAAATTATTCAAAGATTCTACCATATGTCACCGGAAAATATTCAGCATAGAAATGAACTTAGAGAAGGGAGTCCTTTTGATTAGTTTTATCTCTGGAAGGAGAAGCCTCCTGACTTCAAAATCTTCTTGAAATAAAATTTCCTACCTGTCCCTTCAGGGGGCAGGAAACTTTGATGAAAGAAAAGGCAACTGGGGATTCTTCAGTTGTTGAATGCCAATTCCTGTATCTGTGACTTAGCCATGGTTCCAAGGAGTGATTGAAATTCACTTAAGTATCTGGAGGAATATACAGTATAGCCTTATTTTAGCTGCTGATCCCTCTATGTCAGGGGTCTCCAACCTTGGTAACTTTAAGACTTGTGGACTTCAACTCCCAGAATTCCTCAGCCAGCTTGGCTGGCTTGAGGAATTCTGGGAGTTGAAGTCCACAAGTCTTAAAGTTGTCAAGGTTGGAGACCTCTGCTATATGTTATATAGAAATTGCCCATCTCTCATCACAATTTACTTTTTTTTCTGGATTCATGCACTTAATATTTTTGTCTCTAAGTTAATTTATGTATATATTTTCCAGCGATGACCTTTTCTCACTACGTTATTGCCCAGGAAAGACATTGGTGGTTGGAGCTTCTTATGTTGCTCTTGAATGTGCAGGATTTCTTGCTGGACTTGGTTTAGATGTGACTGTCATGGTGCGTTCCATTCTCCTGAGAGGCTTTGATCAAGATATGGCAAATAAAATAGGAGAGCATATGGAAGAGCATGGTATAAAGTTCATAAGAAAATATGTTCCCACTGAGGTAAGACTTGCCCAAAAGAAGTGTTTTTTAAAGTGGCTTTCATGGTAACATGCTTTGTGGTTCATATTCCTTCTTCCTAAGACTTCAAAAGTGCTTGCAGGTTTCAAGATTTCTTGTATAAGTCACAGATGTCTTAAACCAGAGAGCGGCAATATTTTGGAGGACAGAGTATTCATGTTTTAAAAATATAATTAACGTCAGCCTTGGGACTGCATGGGGTGTGTTTGATGTCGTACTGATTTCACTGGAAGGCAAACTTGTTTTTCAGGAGTTGAAGGGCTTAAAAGGTGGCAATGGATGTGTTTTGCTGCAACAGACTGCATTTACAATGAAAAAAATCATATTGTTGAAAATCAGATATTTCGATGGCACAATCTAAGGGCTGCAGTTTGATGTCTGAGTCCACATGCAATCCACTGAGCGACAAAACAGTACAACTGTAGAACATCAGAAGTTGTCTTTTACTGGGTTAAACTATTATCTACTTCTCTTACTGCCAGTAGCTCACCCTTGATCCAGGGATTAACCCTTGACTACTCAGTGACCTTAGTGCTTTATTCATTCTTTGATGTGACTTTGAGATGCCTTTTCTCCTGTCTGGGCTGAACACTTAAAGAGTGACAAGGCAACTTTGATTTAGAATACTGGCATTACTTTTTCCCAATATTCATCATATGTAGATTTTCCCTTCATGATATGAATAGCTGGATGCTTTAAGCCACTGTTGTCAGACATAAATCCCAAGTGGCTTATTATATTCTTAGGCAGAAATCAACTTTAAGGCATTAGGCAGAATTCCATGTGCCTGTGGAATGTTACAGGCACAAATGAATACATGTTTAAATTACATTTTTTTTCAGTGTTTAAGTTTGCTTCCGAGGCATCATGGAAGCCGATTTGACATAGTGGTTGGGTTTCAGAATAGGCAGGGAAAATCTAGATTCAAGAACCGAATGAACCATAATTCTCAAAATGTTGGGCCATTTTCTTCCTCATGTGTGCCTACATCTTTGAGTTGGTTTTGAGGGTAAAAATAAATGAGTAATTGAAAGTATGTTGCCTTGTCTTTCTTAGGGGACAGGTCAGGTTTATGAACATAATGAATAAATCTTCTATATAAATAAAAATGTAAATGTTCGTTTGTTCAAAATCTTAAATCTCCGAAAGTTCTTCACCGATTGCTTTGAAATTTTGACACAACCTTGCATTCGAATACGCGCGTGTTTTTATATACCTATATTGTATAGATGTCACACCTGTGACAGGTAAAAACATGCTTTTTTGAAAAACAGCGCCATCTGTTGGACATAAAAACAACACACGCTTTTACCAGACTGAGCCACAGCAACGCGTGGCTGGGTACAGCTAGTATCAAATAATGGAAAAACACAGCTTGCAAGATCTAGCTATCTTGTTAGATTCTGGCCTATGATGAATTTCTGTTTTTAGACTTTCTAACTGAGACCTGGTGTGCTCTTCCTACACTCAATGCTAATTATTTGAATCATCTTCAGGCTAAGAAAGAGTGCCTGAATAGAGCAGTATAAAAAGTTTCTTGGTGGATTAGGAATGGGAAATTAATGAGAACATAGATTTTAAAAGGCTGATCTATCTTTTTGCAAGATACATGGCTGCCTCCCCTGTGCCTGGACCTTTTTAAGGAGCCATGGATTGAAATGGTCACATGAACAGCTTCTTAAATTCAATATTACATAGATTCAAAATCATTTTCCTTTGTGTTCAAACTGCTGGTTTCTTTGGAGGGAAACACCAGCAGAAAAAAAGACAGGAAATCTCTTGAAAAATGTAAGGGTCCAGAATCATAACAGCTTTTTCTTTAAGTCACAAGATAATAACTAAAATATAAAAATACAGAAAATACATTTGTGATTAAAGTTTATCACTATCCCCTACTTGAAGTCAATATTTAATTTATAAAAATATTGCAGATTGAACGGATCAAGGAAGGAACTCCTGGACTGTTAAAAGTTACAGCTCAGTCTACAGAGAACTCTGAAATAATTGAAGGAGAATACAACACAGTAAGTAATTTGCATGTGTTATTTTAGTTTCAATTAAACTGTGGAAAATGCCTCTGAGCAAAATAGGCAAAGGAATGAAGAACAAAATGCTTCCTTGGTCAATGTCATGAATGGCTTCATATGAATGGGCCTGGATTTTGTAATATTTTTATATCACTTTGGATATAGTGATCGTGGAATTCTTTCCTTTGGTCTTTTGATTGTACAAATGAGGTTATCTAAATATTTTCATGTCTTTCCAGCCTCATACCAATAAGAAATTGAAATTCCATAATGCTGATGGCAGAAGGATGTTAAGGGCTTAAAAATAGTTTAAGGGACAAATGAAATCTTAAAGATGTAACTTGCACAACTGTACAATGTCATCTGATTCACACTGGTGTTCATGAAATTGTGACATTAAAGCTATTGCATACTAATTTTATTTGAAACGGCTATGCAGTGCACATTTCTCACAACTTAATTGTGTCTTATATCCTGTTGAGTATTCACAAAAATCCTCATAAACTCCCTAGGATAAGTGGATTAAATTAAAATATTGCTGTTCTTCAGGTGTTGCTAGCAATAGGAAGAGATGCCTGCACAAAAAACATTGGACTACAGAAAGTTGGAGTGAGGATCAATGAAAAGTAAGGCTAAATCTCTTGTCTGTTTATTGTACTATGTCTCTTTCTTGCAACATCAATCTTGAAGTCTTTATGCATATAAATTGTCAAGGAAACATACATTTCTTTTCTGAAATTTATCTGCTGCAGCAAGAATGACACCATAATTACAGTTTCTTATTACTGGAGATGCCAAAAGGGCAAACTTAGCAATAATTAAAATTCTAATGATTAACATTCTGCCATTAAGGCTTTTAAGTTATCTCACCTTGCCAGATGTCATGGGCAAAGAAAACCCTGAGCTATCCTTTTTTTTTGTTGTTCTATTTTCTTAGTGCTTTTGGTGGGGTGCAGAGCTTCTTTGTTTTTAGTAGTTAGGGGGAAAAATGAAAAATGCAGCTTTTCAGTTGCAGCAATATAATAATTATAGCTCTCCCCCCCCCCGCCCCATGGATGCTACAGCTAATGATTTCAGATAGGAGAATCAATAGGAGCCTGATTTCCGTGAATTTGAAAACGTGATTCTTATTTGACTATTCCTAGCTTGAAATGGCTGCAACCTGCAACATTACAGGTCTGTTTTTAACAGCATTTTAGGGTACAAATATTTGCATATATGAGGGTGAAGGTTCATTCTCCGAGCTTGTGGGTTGGTTTCTAAACATTTCATTACCAGGCTAGGTAACATCTTCAGCGGAGTTTAGGGGACGTCAGTGTTAGTGTTCTTTTGTTTATAAGGGCTTGTGGGTGTGTCAAGTGAGGATTTTGTGATGGGTCTTGTGAGGTTGCATCAGGTCAGGGTCATTGGGAGGTGAACTGCTGGTAGGAGGGGGAGCTTGTGTGGGTTGGATGAGGGTCAGTACTGTCTGTGGTTGGCTGTGTGGTTGATTTGTATTCTGAGGGGTTTATAGACTGGATGTAGGTCAAATCAGAATCCAAATCAACCACACAGCCAACCAGAGACAGCACAGACCCTCATCCAACCCACGCAAGTTCCCCCTCCCACCAGCAGTTCACTTCCCAATGACCATGACCTGATGTAACCTCCCCATCACAAGACCCATCACAAGACTCTCATTGATTACTCACACCTGACCCATCACAAGACCTTCACTCGACTCATCCACACCTGAAAACTTCATAAACAGAAGAACACTGACATTGACATCCCCAAAACTCCACTGAAGATGTTACCTAGCCTGGTAACAAAACGTTTGGAAACCAGCCCACAATCTTGGAGAACAAACCTTCATCCTCATCCTACACCCGAGCTACAGATATTTGCCACTGTTTGCATGTATGCTCTGGTTTTGCCTTCATGCTCTATTATGCTTCTGCTACTGAGATCTGCAAAATAGTAACCTGATGAAAGTGCCAGAACCAGTGAAGAATAGCACTTGGGGAGGGGGGGGGGTTTCAGACAGGGATGCGATGCAGGAAACTGCAAACCACTTTTGTTTGTTCTAATCACCATTTTTTCTCTGCAAGTGTTTCTCCACAAAGTGCATGGTATAGTCCCTTTTTAACGAGATTATGATTCTTTTAATCTGCAACCAAAGCCTTGCATATGGATCATCTTTTTTTCCCCTCTCATCCAATCAACCTCTAGTACAGGAAAAATCCCTGTTAATAACAAAGAACAAACAAATGTGCCTTATATCTATGCTATTGGAGATGTCCTGGAAGGCAAACCAGAACTCACCCCGGTGGCAATTCAGGCGGGTAGGCTGTTGGTGAGGAGGCTTTATGATGGAGCATTCACAAAGGTAAATCAGTGCTTATCATGATGGTTGTAAAAGCAATGGTTTTGAAATGCATTTTTGTTTCAAGTTTATGTTCATGTAATTGATAGCTAACGTTCATAAACTTACAGCAACAGTCCCAAATGAAATTCTTCTAGATGCTTTGAATTACAACTCTCTTTGGACTACAGCCACCATTGCCGGTAGTTAGGGATGATGGGCATTATAGTTGAACAACATCTGAGGAAAATAAATCAGGGAACGTTTTAGGGGGGAGGGTTCTTTTTCTAAGTTTGTGATCGCCCTTGAATTAAATGCTGCAACTTTAAAATCATTTGAGATATTATATGCTTATGCTTCGGGCAACTAACGCTTATCTCTAAATATTTTTTCTTGACAGTGTGATTATATAAATATCCCCACTACAGTATTCACTCCTTTGGAATACGGAGCCTGTGGTTACTCAGAAGAAAAAGCAATTGAAAGATTTGGCAATAATAGGATTGAGGTATTTTGGAAATTGCTAATGTAGACTATGGCTTTTCACGTTTTGACATGAAATTCAGAAAAAAATTTGCATTTCAAGTTTTCTGATGAACACAACCAAGTGAATGATTGTGATCTACTCCCCCTTGAGGGAGAATTATATGATTGTTGCTTTTATTCTGTATGTGATGGGATCTACCTCTGTGAACAAGCAAGTGGTTGGATCTGAAAATCAAATTCTGTGTTTTTAAAGAAAAACACCATACTGTTTGCAGAGCAGTTATCTTTTTGATAAGCAACATGGGGTCTTGGCTGGTGCCAAAGCCAGAAGTCAGCTGGGCATACTCAGAAAGGGGAATTCCCCCCCCCCCAGGCAGATCTCCATGATACATGCCAGGTCAGCTTCCTCACCTATGATCAAGTCTTATTGGCTTTATTACAAATGACCTGCTGTTCAGCAGTAGCAACCAACAACCCAGGTCTAAAAGATCTGCCATTGGCGTCTGGGAATGAGTTCAAAGACCTGGAATGTGTCACAAGAAAAAAATATACCTTTGGCACAGTACCCATGAGTGCCCTGTCCCACATATTTCATTACATTTTCCCATATCCATCGCCATTGGGATGCTATAGCCTCCCCCACCTTTCTAAACCCTTCCCCTGTCCGAATTGCCCCCCCTCCATACCTATCCAGTTATAGCCTCTTCCAGGGCCATCAGCCTAGGATGCTTCTGCTTTGATGTAATACCCTGTAATTTCAACAAAGCCATGCTAGCTGGAGATATTGGGTATTGTTGTCCAACATATTTGGATGGCAACCAGGTTAGGGAAGGCTAATGTTCGTGTAAGTTTACATTGGAATTAATGGTGTGTCAGGAGCCTAAGAAAGAGCATCTGGATGTTTGTCACTTATCAGTTAAGGGAACAGCTTTCTTACCGTTTAGAGCAGTGATGGAATGTAGTGAGGAGGTGGATTCCTATGAAGGAGGGGTGCTTTCCAGAGAAGTAAATGACAATTCACTCCAGATTTTATGTGCGAAAGAGAGAGAATGAAGATAGCTCCTCCCTAATAGTTCATGGAGTATATGGTAGATGTAAATAGTAGAGTGCTCAGTTTGGCAAGGTTTTGTCTATAGCTGTGGAACAATAAAAGAATTCTGCTTGGAAGAAGCTGGGCTGGGGAATTCTGGGAGTTGAAGTCCAGTCATCTTTAAGTTGCTAAGGTTGAGAAACACTGATTTAGAGAAAGGCCATTAGTTAAGAAATGGAACTGTCTCTGCCTTAACTAAGCTGAGAAAAAAATAAATTTTAAAATAAAAGCAATCGAGTTGCTGAAATGTAATTTTGTTCCTGTTCTTTTTCAGTAAATCTTGTTAAATGAAATTCTTGTTAAATGAAATGTAGAAGGGTGCTGACATGAGCTTGAAAATTGGCTGAAATTCAGCATAGGTATTTATATATCATTTCTTTCCTTTTTCAGGTTTACCACAGTTACTTCTGGCCGCTGGAGTGGACAGTCCCATCCAGGGACAACAACAAATGCTATGCAAAAGTTATTTGCAATCTTGCAGATAGGGTAATTTCAGTGCACCGTGAACCTTTGCTTTTTTTCTGCAAAATGATTGGCATTTTGCAGAAGGAGAAGGAATGTTAATATTCATTTTGTACGCATTGTGACTCACCACCTGATTGCTTTTTTCTTTCTCTAAAGTACACCTGCGATGCTAATTGAATCTATGTCATCTTCAGATCCTTAAATTGGAGCTATCTGGAGCTGAGGATGAAACTGCTGCCTTCATTTGGCAGGCATCAATGATACCTTGAAAGTATTAGCTGGTTAAAATCCACCTGCAAATCCACTTCTAAATTATAGAGTCATTGTATAATAACACCTTGGCTAGGCTTTGCAACCATTAAATAATACCCCTCTTTAACTTTGCTCAGTATTTAGTTAATAGCTGTGAATGTTTTAATTTTCAAAATATAACAACAGCTGAAACCCAAAATACATTGGAAAAACTATTGTATTCTGAGTCTCAAAGGCTGTTTGTGTTAGGGCAAGTGGGCCTTAGTCTCTGTGGATCCTTCCCACACTTTCCACTGCAGTTAATTTGGACATATATTTACTAATCTAAATCAGCTACTCCTCATTTGCAGTTTATCAAAAATTTTACTCCTAAATTGGAAGTGATGATTTGAAAGTTTCAGGCCTGCAACAAGTATGAACCATTTACTCAGTCCTGCTAAATGCCCCTTCTCTGATGCTACTGTCAAAAGGCAGCAGTTGGCAATAAAAAGCCAGCCATTCAAAATTACCCATTTACAGTATTCCAGGACATTTTTCTGAAATATTAGAATATATGATATTTTAATTATAGGAATTGTAAGATCCTAATTGCTCAGAAATTATTAGATTTTGATATAATTATGTAGCATGTCTCTATTATGTCACTTTTCTTCAGTGTTTCAAGAAAAACAAAGTAGCCAAAAGAATTCTGTCTTCCATGACATATAGCTCAGAAATCCATAGTTTTTTTTTCCAGATTAACAACCAACGATACACTACTTATACTGTATCATACCAAAAGTTACACCCTAAAAGGAAACAGGCCAGGACAAGTATGAGTTGTACCAGGAAAAAAATGACCTGTATACAGTAGGAGTAAGGAGTTGAAACTTGACCAGAGTATCAGAGCTTCTGATTAATAATAATAATAATAATAATAATAATAATAATAATAATATGATGATGATGATGATGATGATGATGATGATGATGATGATGGAAGGGAACTTGGAGGTAATCTAGACCAACCCCCTGCTCAGGCAGGAAACCCTATACCATTTCAGACAAATGGCTGTCCATCTCTTCTTAATACTTCCAGTGTTGGAGCATTCACAACTTCTGGAGGCAGGTTGTTCCACTGATTAATTGTTCTAACTGTCAGGAAATTTCTCCTTAGTTCTAGGTTGCTTCTCTCTTTGGTTAGTTTCCATCTGTTGCAACTGATTCAAGCTATTCTCCAAAGCGCCTGAAGGCAGGACAAGAAGCAACGGGTGGAAACTAATCAAGGAGAGAAGCAATCTAGAACTAAGGAGAAACTTCCTGACAGTTAGAACAATTAACCAGTGGAACAACCTGCCTCCAGAAGCGGTGAATGCTCCAACACTGGAAGTTTTTAAGAAGAGACTGGACAGCCATTTGTCCGA